GTGATGTGAGTGGAATCGGAACGCTGAGGTCATCAAATGAGAGGTGCGAGTTTATAGACGCGGCGGCTTGCAGAGATCAATTAGGTCAGCATCTGAGCATTGTCAAGTTTATTGGTAACGGTGAATGTTAATGACTTCTGCTAATGCTACCTGACTTCCTACACCGTCATAAGAAGGCTGGCTCAAAACATAAACCTGTAGGCTGTATACAGAGGTCTGTGCTCAAAACCTTATAACGCCCTAACTTATTTCGAAGTGTATGTTAACCCGCGCGGGGCTGGGGTCTCCAGCCGAACGCGCGGGGCTGGGGGGGGGGGGTAAATTTTACCCCCCTGTTATCTCCCGAACTAACGGTCCGATTTGGAAAATTCAAACGCCAATCGAAAGCTCTCATCACGAACTACTAAAAACATGTACTTAATTTAAGGTTTGAGGTCAAGGTCAAGGTCAGGTCAAGGGTACAAATTGCAAGTTTCTACAGTATCGGCCTTGCACCGTAGTTGCCGAAGAATGGAGTCATGGACTGAGACTGATCGCCCAAAACGTGTTCTTAGGCTACCAAGACAATATTCGTTGCATACAATATCATTCAGAGGTCAAGGTCAAGGTCAGGTCAGGTCAGGTCAGGTCACCAAAAAACAAAATATAGAAAAGGGCATGTGCGACACATGTTTTATGGGTCATTTTACTCATAGGATTCAATAGGCACACTCAATAAGTGATATGGACCACCTCTGGATGAATTTCAGGTCGAGGTCAGGTCAAGGTCAGGTCAAGTGAGGTCAAATTTTGAAGTTGGTTGTTAAGGCCTAAAAAGGTGTCTATCTGATGCAGTTTTTCACGGCGAATCGAATGGTGCTATTTTTGTTTCCGTACGAGGTCTAGAACTTCCAAAAAAGTCATTTTTCAAAAAATTTGTGTGTCGTGACGTCATAAAATTTTGAATAACTCCCACATTTTTGAACCGATTCTTCTAAAATTTGGTATGTAGGTGCACATAGACCACTTCTCTGACATATATTCCGGTTTTTTCGATAGACTCAAAATTTTGGATTTTATAATGATTTTCCCCAAAAAGTCAGTTTTTTGAAATAAATTAGGCCAAAATCCAAAATTTTCAAAAAACCGAGATAGCCATTTGATAGACAAAGTAAAATTACGTATTACCTTTTTTGTTACGTCTTGATTCCTTAAAAAATAAAGATGTTAGCGGCGTTTGAACTTTTGCCGTTTTTGAGGCGAAAATGACGAACATGACGTCACTAAAACATCAATTTCTCAAAAATTTTCCGACGGATTTCGCTCAAATTTTCAGGGAACGTGTCAAATTGATGTAAGAAAAGGTACTGAAAGTTTGGCGGCGCTGCGCGCCGCCGTTTTTAAGATATCGCAATAATTCGCGAGGGGGGGTAAAATTTACCCCCCCCCCAGCCCCGCGCGGGTTAACCCTAGAACGCCTATAGGGGGGGGGGTTGTATCAACCCCCCCCCCTGAGGTTTTTTTCGAAGTGCACGCTAAACGGCTTGTCGTAGCGGGCTGAAATTTTCAATACCCCCTGGGGCAACCTTTGCGCATCTTTTGCCGAAAAAAAATTGATCGGGTCATGTCAGGTCACGGAGTTATGACGTCATAAGAGGTACAGCCTCCGGCCGGATTTTCACAAACTGAGTGCCAACGCCCGAGGTTTCCTGCCGGTGGTACGGACATCGGTTGATGGATCGTGATGAAACTTCCCATGCATGTTGGGGCAAGTATTGGCTATCATATGGTATAAGAAATTTGACCGGGTCAGGTCAGGTCACGGAGCTATGACGTCACAAGAGGAACAGCGTCCGGTACTATTTTTGAAAAGCGCCCGAACCACTATTCTGCTAATTCTTGTCACCTTAATGGGAATATGCAGCAATATTAGCTTCTATAGGGAGCAAATGGACCTCCCAAATCCAAAAATACAATCAGCTTTCAAAAATTTAAATTTTGATTTTTCGAATTTCTGCCGCCGACTGTGACCTTGCCGACTTCCGGCGCTCCCAACGCGCCATTTTTAGAGCTAGGGAAACGAAATACATACCAAACGATAGAGAATTGATCAAGGAACACGATAGTGAAGGTTTCAAGTCGATACCTCCCACCGTTTTGCCGCAATCGCCGCCGAAAGTTGAAAAAAAGTCTATTTTTCCGAAAATTTGACCTTTGACCGGTCAAAAGTAGGTCAAATGTTGACCTAGGACCAAAAAATATACCACCAATCGCGAGATCTCGTTGAGAGCAATCCGTTGGTTTTTTTCCGCTAAGCTCTACGACCTTCCGTTTCGAAACGCCAGGGGGGGATTGTAACAACCCCCCCCCCCCCCTGGTCGTTCGTGTTATGAGAAATGGCCTGGTCGTGCGAGGGTTAAATGATCGGACATCAATTACCAGCAACCAAGGGTATTTACGGCAACGTTTCTTTTTAAACACATGAACAATCCATCAACGATAAACTCATAGGCATTTGGGCATGCTATTGTTCTCTTCACCGCATGCCAACTGTTTGCCGGCTTTTGTGGGGCTGTTGTTGTTTTGGGCACAAGAGTTTGGTCGGTAACTGAACGTTTCGTGGCTAATGTTCTAAAATATAGGATCGTGAACCCCATGATTAGGTCACGCAATGGTTTCATGGCATCTGTCGTGCAAGTCACGTGATTTATTGGCACGATACTGGTAAAAATCACGTGACGATCGGTGCTTTCGTGCGTCTGTAATGCACCCTAATGCTGTGCGTGTCATGCAAGTCACGTGTGCTGGCTGCCCCGCAATGGTGCAAATCACGTGACCTTCCGGCGCGCGATCGTGCGTTGGTCGTGTTGCGGTGCGGCGCGACCACGTGACCTTCGGCTGCGGGTGGGGTGAGAAGCACGTGACCTCGGCAGTCCGTGCAGCTATGCGGTTTGCCACTGAGAGGAGATGGAAGGGGAGGGCGGCGGGGCGAGGGACATTTGATCTGCGCCCAGGGGTGTAGGGTGCCTGTCCGGCACGTTTGGTCATTGCCTGCCCTGGGCCGTTAGAAACTGGATACCAGCCATCGAGTCTCCATCGAATAGTTCCGGAACGAGTCAAACAGAGTCCACTCTGAGTGTTGCCCGCTGCATACAATACATGATAGAACAAGCGTGATGTTCAGCGTACAAAGCGTGTACGGCGCCCATTTATGTCGCCTTCTCGTTTCTGTCCAGTTTTCCTCTCGTCTGGCGGTGCTGTGATTGTTTTGGCCTGTCGCCTGCCGTTGGCGCCCTGCTTTACTTAGGCTCCGACACCACGCTGTTTTTGTTTTCTGACTTTCTTATTGCTGGTGGGCCACGAAATATTATCTTCAAATCCCCGAGGGATAAGCTACGATTTTATCTACACACAAGTTGACGACATCATTGGCATCAATCATTGGCACTTCCTGATATTTCTTCCATCATAACCATGATTGTATGCTTATGGCACTTTTGCGATCCTTCTACCCCTGACATGAGTGACACTGTAGAGTGTCGTTGCCCTTGTCATCTGACATCTTCCCCTCGACACTCGTTTACCATCTCCCCTTATACTTAACCCCTCATCCCCCCAACACCTGAGGTGTCATCTTTCTTAGCACGTAACATTTCATCTTCCCTGACACCTATCATATCTCCCATGACACTTGTGTCATATCTCCTAACGTGTCATCTTCCGCTGACACCTCTACTGCTGCTACAAACATAACTGCCTTCAATCGCCTCCCAGCGCTCTCACACGCGGAAGGAAGTGCCTCCTGCTACCCTCCCCTGTGGCTCCGAGACTACCGGGAACCCACTCGATGTAAATACACGACTCGGTGTAAGTAGACCGGCGCAAGAGTTCGTTGAAATATCGACTGACGCTAGGGGTAGGAGCCACTGGGGTCATGTTTCTGCTTGGTGTCGTTTTGGTGTTTTTGTTTGAAATGTTTCATGAGTTAGAATGCAGAGTGGGTTGAGATCGGTTTGTTCATTCCGTTAGACTGACTCATAAATAACTGCCTGGAGCTGTGTTTAATGAACGTCAAGTTTATGGACGCTAATTTTTATCATTAATTCCAATGCAGCCCTTTGCATATTGTCTCTCTTCACTGGCTTCAGTAATTTATTGATTAATAGCCGGTTTTCCGCATCGCTCATGCCTACGCCTTATGACCTAACCGGTTTTTGTTTGCCGTAAAGCCTCTGCCACACATTTATTACCGTCTCCAGCTTAGCTCGTCGAGCTATGGCGTAGAGCGAAGGCAAAGCACGGAAGGATACCTTTTCCAGGTTTTCGTTATAAGTTCCTGGGCCTCTATGGTCCGGTGTTGAGAATTATTGAGAACATCCGTTTAGAGATGGCTACGCTCAAAAGAGATGAGATCAGTTGCACTGACTTGCTGCTTAGAATGCCGACAATGTTGTAGACTTGCAATTTTTCGAATTAGTAAAACGATGCGTACTCTAGATTTGAGTAAATTGCAAATGAGACATGTAATCCGCTGTAAGGTCATCTTGTTGGGTGACGCAACTAGTTTTTAGAAGGATTATGGGACGTGGGAAATACGGCATTTGTAACTCTTTGTACGGTACGGTGTTCGGTATCTGTACGGTGCCGATGGGCTTTTCTGGAATTTTGCCCATAATGATCAAATGCATTGGGATATGTTGCTGGTAATGGTTGTAATTAGTATTTTGTAATACCGTGAAATATTAGCGAGTGACTTTCTTATCCGCTTCATTTGCGATCAGTCTACCTCTTGGTTGACCTTTAACTTGCAAAACTGCCATATTCTCCTCTCTGACTTGTCTACCTACCCGCTAAATTGATCAAATTGCCAAACTTACCCGACTTGCAACGTACCTTTCGATCAGCCTGACCTCTAGTCTGACCCATAACCTGCGTTCTAGCCTGACCTCTGGTCTGACCTAGGTATGCCCCGCGTTCGTACCTGACCTCTATTCTGACCGTTGACCCGACCTTTCCCACAGGATCTTCACACGTTGTTCGAGACCCTGCAGGAGTTCGAAGCGCTCTCCAACCTCCGTGAAGCGGCGCTGCGCTCGCTCTGCAAGGCCATACGATACGAGCGAAGAGATAAGGACGATATACTATATTTGTGAGTGATGTGACGACGCGAATCGTAGGGATTCGACTGGGCGCGGCTGTAGGGGACCTGGGAGGTTTGGGGGCGGGAGGCAGGCGAGGAAAGGGATGGAAGGGAGAGTCAGTCAAGTTTATGGAGCAATGGGAAATGATTTAGCTGGCTATTACGTGTTTTGAGGGGTAGGGGACTTTCGCGTAAGGACTGCTGGTTTGGTACAGCTGCTGGGTATGTGGAGGAGTAACTTGTTGGAAATTTGATTGATGCTACTATAGGCGTTGGGTTATCCGTAGCTGTAGTCTGATTACCTCTCATTGTTAAACCAAAAGGGATGTGATAATTAGCAATGGAGAGATCATAACCACATGTAGCTCGTTGTGTGTAATCTTGTCATTGCTTAATCATATATCGTTACAAAAGCGTTGCAACAGTCATTCTGTCATTCAGTCTTCATGTGCTGTCTCACCTATGATCTCCCCGTATAACTGACGTGATCTTTGACCTCATCTCTCCCCCTTCAGTCGCGGGGAGCGGGCGTCATGCTGGTACATCCTCATCTCTGGCTACGTCTTCATTGATGGCTCCATGTTCTGCCCCGGATCAAGGTGAGGACCGGATATCGAACGTCTTTGGCCGTTTTAGTCAAGATAGGATTAATCGACCAAAAATGTTCCATTGATCTTAGCACTTGCCGATGTTTTTCTTGTAACTGGCTCATAGGTCGCTACCTACTATCAAATAATGGACTGTTTATTTTACCAATTGCCCAGGTTGGACTTCTCAACATCACAAATAATCAAATGTGTCAAAGTTATGCATTTCATATTTCACTTTGTTATTGCTCTTGTTTGGTTTCTATTGCTCAGGTTTTTTCTTCATTTCAATACTACATCAGAATTATTCTGACTTATGTTACTGTTTCTGTTCAGTTTCGGCAAGCGGATCGGTCAGCGGGTGAACGATTGCGTCATCCTGGAGCCGGCGGAAATGATTGTGGTGAGTCGCGCGGCGGATTGGATTGGATTGGATTGGATTGGATTGGATTGGCCGGTAATTTGATGCATTATGTTTTTGCTGAGGTATTTTTTTTTAGATATTAGGTTGTAGCTTGTCTTACATTTTGTTGGACGTCGAATTGATAATACCGTGTCAGAGCTAGTCAGATTTACGTCAGAGTCAGACATGAGGTCAGGAGCTACCAAACTTTTGTCCAGGCTCTGACCATTCAGTATCTCCAGCTCAACCCGTAACATTATGGATAGATCGTGACTACCTTGACGTCCTGTACTGTAGCATCTGGCATAATTCTAATCATTGGCATTCTGACCTGACCAGTGACCTATGTGACCTGACCCTGTGACCCCTGTCTACCCCCTGACCTTGACCTGACCCTGTGACCTCTCCCTCAGATTGACTACCCGGACAGTAACCTCATGTATAGCGGCCAGAGACGTTCGTGTACCGCCGCAAACCTGGAGCGACTGCTGGCGCTTGAACAGGAGGAGGTCAGCATTCACTCGCGGCTTGCCAATATGGAGGATCCGCAGGTAGGAAACATGAAGGGTGCTGGAGGGAATGTATAAGGCTGGGAGGGAATGGAGACGAGAGGTCAGGATTCACTCCTGGCTTGCTAACATGGAAGATACGCAGGTAGGAGACGTAGGCCTATCAGGTGTGCGAGGGTTAGGGGAATCATCCACAGACACGGGGAAGGGATCTGAAAGAAGTCGGCTTTCGCTACCGCCTCACCAACATGGAGGATTCCCAGGTATTGGGGAGGGGGATGGGAAGGAAGAGGGGAAAAAGATGAGCCACATGACGTATGAGACGGGAGCTGGGATTCACTCTAGGTGCGCCAACATTGAGGATCTACAGGTCTGGAATGGGGATACGCTGTGGGGGGTCATACTACAGATGGAGACTTGATGAAAGTAGATGAGGTGCTTCAGCGAAGGGATATCAGGATGTAGGCTGAAAAAATGCATTATTTATGCATTTTTTAAACCATAGCAAAACGCTAAATCAGTCATGTTCATCCGATTATAGCGCCATCGTATTTTAGGTGATATTTTGTATTATCCTACTAATGAGAAATGTTCGAGAGTCTGATGTTGTGACCATTTACCTGTGATGACGTGAGTGGCACGTATTGTTTAGCCCACTATCTGACCGGTCTCCGCTCGCACTGTACACAGGTGCTGGTGAACAACATGCACCTGCTATCGCTGTACAAGAACACGGGCTCTCGGTGTTCGTCAGACACCAGTTCGGCCTACAGCGGATCAGATACCATGCAGTCACTACAAGTGGGTGAAGAGGAGGGGTGTTGACGTTTATAAAAATCAGGGAGATCCTGATATGGGAGACATGACTGACGTCAATTGTTGGGCCTGGACAAACAGTTTCCTGTTTCGGTCGAGTAATTATTTGACCCCTCTCGCCCCGTTTTTAGTTGAGCATTGACCCGGGCGATGCTGGCGATTCATGTGGAGTATCCATTTGACCCCTCTCGCTTTTCGTTTTAGCCGAGTTTTGAAATAACCCCCTCCTGTATCCCATCGTTTCAGCCGAATTTAGAATTACCCCCCCCCCCCCGCCGTCGTTTTCAGTCGAGTATTGACCCGCTGAGGATGTCGAATGTCGATTCATGTGGATTATCCTTTTGATCCCTTTCCTTCCCCATTTCTAGTCGAGTTTTGAATTAACGCTCCCCCCGCGTCGTTTCCAGTCGAGTATTGACCCGGCCGGGGAGGACGATCCATGTCTATTACTCATTTGACACCTCTCGCTTTTTGTTTTGAACTTAACCCGCGCCGTGCTGGTGGCCTGAACTTTCCGCCGAGTGCTGGGGGGGGGGGGCGTTTTCACGCCCCCCCCGTCTAACTCGGCTCCTGGGCCACGTAGCGACACGCGGTAAGCGGCAATCGAAAGAGCGTCAAAAATAAGGACGAAAACACTTCGGTCATTTTTTGGGTCAGGTCAAAGGTCAGGTCACCAGAGGTCACCAAAGGTAAAATGTTGACTATTTCAACATTTTGGAAACTGCCAACGGCTATCTCGGGAACCGATAGAGCTACAGCGCCGCGGAAAAGCGCATTCGATAGCCCTTTTACAGACCTTTCTGAGTAATGTTCTCAGATTTGACCTCAGGTCAACGGTTTAGCCTCCAGAGGGCAAAAACTCCAAAAATAGCCGTTTTTACGAAAAACGTTTTTTCGTCAATAACTTTTGACTCATAAGCGCCATGACATTACTTTTGCCAGCATCGTGTTCCTCTCGTCGAGACGCGTCGAATGAACTATTTGTTGACCTTGAAAGGTCATTTTGAAAATTTGACCTCAGGTCAAGGTCATGACCTGACCGAAAAGGGTCATGTTGCATATCAGTCGATCCGTATCGTCGAGCTGAACACATCTGACGTGTTTTCACCGCTCTAGCACGTCTCTATCAAAAGTTATAGCCAAAAAACTGCTGGCGACCGTTCATGACCTGAGATGACCTCAGGGGCACACAGAGGGGTCACAGGTGCATTTTTCCTATTCAGTGTGTCATGTTTACCTATGAACCGATGTTTGAGAGCGTTTTGAACGATATTCGTCCAAAAGAGGCGCATTTCAATTTTCTCCCATTGACTTATAATGGAGAGGTCGCAAAATTGACCTGACCTTAGGTCACAGATATCAAAAATCCGAGATATACATTTTATACATACTGTTACTCATATCAATCGCTGAAAGTTTCAAAGTGATCGTTCAGTCGGTGTAGCTATAGCGAGCCTTTGAACTTTTTCTGAGGTAAGGTCACTTGACGTGACCTGGTGACCTGACCTTGAACGGCCTAGGTCTGAAATTTTCACAACATGTGCGGAAATGATGTAGGAACACGTGTACCAAAAACGGCGGCGCTGCGCGCCGCCGTTTTTGAGATATTCGCGAAAAACCTGAGAGGGGCGTAAAAACGCCCCCCCCCCCAGCACGGCGCGGGTTAACACCTATTTTCCCCCGTTTTCAGTCGAGTATTGACCCGGCCGAGGATGTAGATCTGACCGGTCTGATTGAGTCCACCGTGGACTCTGATGAAGACGAGGAGGATCTGATGGCCACCATGGACTCCATCAACCCGCGGTAAGACGGTGGGTTGGTGTTATAGGGCGCACCAGCAGCGAGGCTATATGGCGCCCATAACCCGCGGTGAGAGGGTGCCAATACGTTGTACTGTTTTATCTGTGATCAGACTTCTTTCTACCTCCACTGATGCGTTTCTGTCTTCGCTGATGAATGCATTCAAGCTTACAAATGATTTGATAGCAAAATTTTCAAAAGAAAAACCAGGCTTACCCTCGAAGGACTTACGTCTCCGCTCGATACCGTTGCTATTATCAGCCTGCCTTCACATCTAGATCTACACAGCTCACTATCCAGATAAGGTTCCAGATTTGACGCCTTTCCCGCCCCTTCTTTCCAGTGACGCGGTCCGGGAGTGTCTGGAAACAGACCCGGCCAACCGTACAGAAGACGACGTGGAAATACTGCTCGAGTTCACCCAACACCTGCGGGCGTTCAGTAATATGACGCTCAGCGTGCGGCGCGCCCTCTGCAGTGTGATGGTGAGAGCAGGCAGAGGGAGGGAGGAAAGAGAGGAGAGAGAGGCAGAGAGAGGATAGAGAGGATGAGAGTGGGTGGAACTTGTTGGGACCGGTGTTGGAATTATTACGTGTAAAAAACAATGCTGCGCACTGCGCAGGCTTTTGGTCTTTATTGAGCTTGAATGCTTCACAATAATTTGTCTCAACTTATTTTCGGAGATACAAAAATTAAAGTGAAGTATCTAGCCATCTTGTTCTGTACCTATTCAAATGCTTTGAAACTATGATACTTCTTCTCACCATCTGTTACTTTTCATGGTTATTCATTTTGAAAATCGCCAACTTTTGCAGATAAAATCCTCCAACGCCCACTTTACCCTTCTCACCCCGTCGGGATTCGAACCCGTGACCTTCCGGTCGTGCGCAGGTGTTCGCTGTGGTGCAGAAGGCGGGCACGACAGTGATGCAAGACGGCGAGGAGCTGGACTCGTGGTCGGTGATTGTCAACGGTCAGGTGGAAATCAGCGGACCCGGCCTGCCCACCACCGAGCTGGGACTAGGAGATAGGTGAGAGGGGAGGAGAGAGAGAGAGAGAGAGAGAGAGAGAGAGAGAGAGAGAGAGAGAGAGAGAGAGAGAGAGAGAGAGAGAGAGAGAGAGAGAGAGAGAGAAAGAGAGAGAGAAAGAGGGAGAGAGAGGAGAGTGAGAGAGCGAGGGAGCGAGAGAGAGAGAGAGAGAGAGAGAGAGAGAGAGAGAGAGAGAGAGAGAGAGAGAGAGAGAGAGAGAGAGAGGAGGGAGGGACGGGGAGAAAAGGAGAGCTCTGCTAGGGTGGGGAAAGAAGGAGGGCTGGCTAGGCAGGTAGTTACTGAGACAGTAACTGGTATCACTACCTCACTAGTAGGTATCCGTTTTGTATCACCAGTTTCGGTATCACTGCTGGTGTCACTTCCTCACTAATCGTGTGTCTGTATTGTCACCAGTTTCGGTATCACTTCAGTATCAGTATCACTTCCTCACTAACTGTGTGTCCGTTCTGTATCGCCAGTTTCGGTATCACTCCGACCATGGAGAAGCTGTATCACCGTGGTGTGATGCGAACAAAGTGCGACGACTGTCAATTCGTCTGTATCACCCAGACAGACTACTATCGGATACTGCATCAGGTATGTGTTGATAAATTAGTTATGGTAAATATTGCATCACCGTAACTGAAATTGATAAGATATTGCATCACATATCATCAATATGGTACCACTCAGGTTGAATTTTATCGGATATTGCGCCAGGATTTTGTGAATTTTAATTCTCCGAGGACCGTAATGTTCAACGGTAGGTAGTTAGGATGAATCACATAAGTGTGCTTGTTACTCGTTCGATATTAGTATTTTTATGCGCAAGCGAACTCACGTGAGAACTTGAAAATTTTGCTAGGACCCATCAGTTTCAATGAAGAATGTACCGTCGTCCCTGCACCCCTTGCCAGCACTCATCTTCCGGGGATATGAGACCCGATAGTGTGGTCAATCAGTGTTTATTCAACAAATTCTTGGACGATGTCTTCTCATTCATCGAAACGCCTACTGTATGTAGCAATCCAGACATTTATATCACCCAACACCACTTGAACTCTGGTCAAATGTCACACCTTATCTCAGTTCTTCACTGAACATTTATGCTCCAAATGCTTTCACACCATCGCAAACACTGCTGAGCACTTCTCCCTTGGGTAAACATTTCGCTAGACATAAGTATTTCTTGGAAGATGCATCTTTGGAATATACAGGGTGATTTTTTTAACTGTTAAAAAGTAAACGTCAATGGTGGTCCCTAAATCGAAAAATCTTGTGCAAAAAAGCAATGCACGTGATAGATAAATCTGGGACATTTTGTATGGTGTCATGATTTGTTCCTTTTAACCGAAGGCCTCGGCCCCAATGGAGCCTGAAAATGTCCCACCAATCGGGCACGCATCGTCCACCGCCGTTCAGTAAGGAACGACACAAAACGATGATTTTGAAGCATTGAGGCAGTTCGAAGCATACGATCATCAAGGAGATACCTCAGAAAGACGTTGAATAATGCACGAACAAGCTTGTAGTCATAAATAACCTTCAAACGGTCCATCTGGCGCATGTGCAGCCTCTGAAGAATCAGTCCTCAGGGAGAAACAAAAACAGCGAATCAGACACCACCAGGGCCGCCAGTAGCAAAATCCTCGACCTGCCCTTTCTAGACTTCTAGTTTTTGGACCCAGGTATGGCAGATATAACAAGAAAACATTGGAAATATCTGGCAGAACTGAAAATGGGTGATAGGAGCCTTTTCAGTCCGCCTAATGAGCATGGGAGTCCATGATGCTGTTCAACACGTGCTCAGGCGGGCTGATTCGTGTCGGTGAGAGAGGGGGTAACTTCAAGCCCAAGTAAAATACACGATGGTCGTTCCTTCACATCGTGTCTGCTTGAAATCAAAATGTCCCAGAATGCCTGTCATGCTGGTATATAATTTTACAATATATATTTGCATTTTAACCCCACTAAACCTCATTACTTTTTAACAACTAAAAAAAATCACCCTGTATACATTCATTCTTAACTCTTCTGTGTCCTCACCAGGGCGAAGAGAACACCCGACGCCATGAAGAGAACGGCGAGGTCGTTCTGGTCACCGAACACAGGATCCTGGACGCCGGATCCGGGAAGGGACACTGTGTCATCAAGGGCACGCCCGAGCGGCTGATGACGCAGCTGATGGCTGAAAACTCGCTCATCGATCCGTACTACGTGGAGGACTTCCTGCTAATCAGGAGAATCTTTCTGCCGGAGGCGACGACTCTGTCGAATCAGTTGATGGAATGGTAAGTCCAGGCAGTGCTCCATGAATTGCCAGTTTGGATGGGAAGTGACTTTGAAATTTACACTCTTTTTCAATTTTCTAATTTTCAATTTACAATTTTCCATAACAATTTTTCACTTACAAGTTTTATCAATATAGAGCGCTGCCATCTGTGTGTATATTGTTGGCTGGCTTCTACCTACCTCCATATAATTTCCTTAAAGTACCGTTTAAAACAGCCCCGCATCCTCGAAGATTCACTTATAAATTGATGATCCCTGTTTTCCGCTCTTTTTCGTGCCCTTCTGATTCGCAATTTTCCACTCTCATTCCTCTTTAAATTTAGGAATATCCCCTCTGACACTCAAACTGATACATAATTTTGGGACACTGAGCCCTGTTTCTGCACATGATGGTACCTGACACTGCCGGTATCCATGGAAACGTGAGCAGAAATGGGCACTTCTGCTTACGTTCCCATGGAAACTGAACGCCAGTACCAGGTACCTTCAGGTAGCGTCGTGTAGTGAAGCAGATTAGAACCCCAGAGACCGGGACTGGTCTTTGAAACTTTATGTGAATTATCGTGAGGTGTGACCGTTTGGCTCAGTTGGGTGGACCCTGGATGAATCACACATATGTGATTCATCCAGGGTCATCGGCTGCAGAGGTCGCTAGTACTGCGCGGAGGGGCTGCCACTTGGTGGTGGGTTTTTATATTATTCAACAACAGACAGACTTCGTTCTTGATGTTCATTGCTTTGCTGTGCGCATTGTAGACATATATTTAGCCGAGCAGAAAAAAAATACTGACTTTCTCAACCAGTATCTTTAAGAGAATGTTTTTTTTTGTGATCCGAGATGCTCTTTGTTATTCAGTTTAGGAATTATTCCCAGATGAAAATTATTTTTACGCTATTACCGTTTCTTCTGACAAGCGACCCACTTTCGAAAGGTTCATATCAGACATATTACATATTATAATATGTTATAATATTTGTTAATATTTGTTAATATGTTATAATATTTGTATAATATTTGTATGTTATACATTATAATATTTACATATTATAATATCAGACATATACATATTATCGACATATAGTCGACAGTGCTAATACTTTTTATACGTGAATAACGGTTTTACTGGGATGTCTGGTGTCTCCATATTTTACCCCTCTACCCCCGTCACACCCTGTAGTCCTCCTCTGACCCCTCACCCCCCCCCCCTCGCCCCCGCCCCCAGGTTCCGTGACCCCGAGTACCGTGATCGGGTCACGCGGGTCGTACTCCAGTGGGTCAATAGTCACTTCATCGACTTTGAAACCGACCCGGCCATGATGGACTTTCTGGAACGCTTCGAGGCGTGTCTGGAGAGCAATAAAATGCACGGACAGGTAAGTCGCAGATCCTTTTTTGGCGGGGGAGGGATGAGTTTGAATTAGACACATGGACGGGCTAGATCAGCTCCATGTTAACCCGGCAGTTGCAGCTTCATGTTAAATCGTCACTCTGAGAAAATAAGGAGTTCGAATTAGGCTGACGATTTGATGTCGGACTAGATGAACCTATAGGTTTTGTGTATTTTCGTATAAACTGTCACAGTTGTCAAATTAATACTTTTAACACTCAGCTTGTCATGTGCGCAGCCTTATGACTAGATGCCGTCTGTACTATTAAAATATTTATTACGTTTGCATTTTGTTGACTTATCATTCATATTTCCATTCAGCCTAGATTGCAGCACTACTTTGAATTTTATCTGCGATACCTACAAATTACACCGGAATGGATTTAGTGGTCCCTCGATTATAGCGTTTATCGAAGCTTCTGTTCGAAAATCGGCCCGATATTTTGTGATCATCACACGCCAAAAATCTATAAACCGCTTCGCACCTTTTCACATGTCAGAATGGGACTTATCTCGTTGACAAATTTGTCTCTCTGGCAAGTCAGCTAAAATATTGAGCGAGTTTGGTTTGGTACGCGCCTGAGACACGTCCAAGAACCTTCTGGCCTGGCAGCCAGTGTAAGCAATAAGCATTGAGCATGTATGGATTCAGACCGAATTTCGTGTCCGCTCTCGCACAGACATTCCAATCTCGTTTTGTAATTCCGTGCCGAGTCTGGTAGCGCCACCTCTGTCGATGGCCAGGCCGCTTGGCCTGCCTGCCGCCAGTGGTGCCAACGCCGCCGTTTACCGCTCACAATTCTTCGTCGGACACTAGCTGTTCATACCTACCGCCCGCCGCCGCCGCCGCCGCCGCTGCCGCCGCTGTCTGTCGTTATCAAATATAGGTCGGCCTAGTTTGTTAGTGGGAGTCTTGGCTGGGAAGGGGGCCTCTCACCTCACAACAGCGACTCGGGTGGCCGCCCAGCTGCGCCACAGTGTAGCTGATACCCGGGGTGATGTGAAGAGGGGGGGGGGGGTGAATATGCCCCCCTCACGGCGGTGCCGAGTGGGCAAGGTTAGCCTGGCGCCACCCCGCTGCAGGTGGCTGGCAGTAGATGCACATAACTCACACCTGGGCTGGCCGTGGTGCCTGTCTTCAGTGGATGGCACTGTGTAATACAGAGTTGATTGGTTGTCTTGCCGCCACACTTCATAAACAAACTTTTTGGCTGCTGCGAAGCCTCATTTTCGTGTCTTATCTTTTTTATCTTCTGAAAGCCATCTCCGAAAAATGTGCCGAGACTCGAGAGATTTTATGGATCTTCTTTTATACACAGTTCTTTTCGATGCTGCCTGGGGTTATTATGAAACTGGGTCGATATGAAAGTCAAGGTTTGCTTTAGTGAGCCTTGATCCCAGTGTTCTCCTACAAAATTATTTTTTCGCGTATCAAAAGCTCCAAGTACCAAATCAACTGCCGTGGAATCCAAATTTTCTTCCATCAAGAAAAGATTCGCTCCGACGAGGCAGTTTCGTGAAAGTAACGCCACCCTTAGACCTGCCCTTCCACTAGCCGCACATAATCTCGCGGCCCGCCGTGGGGTGTGTTCTGCTGGTGTGACGTGCCACGGTGCCACACCGACGCGGCTGACTCCGCCGTCAGCCGACTGAGTCATCGGTCCGTGTTATGTGTGGCTAGTGTAAGACGCGCTGTGAACCTCGCTGAACTTCCTTTTCCCGGGTTTAGCCGGCTAATCGGACTGTAAAATCCGTCCGTGCGTGCCGCCAGACAGCTGCTGCTGCCCGCCCGTGATCCACTATCCGCCCATCCGCTCACCGCCCAACCCAGACCGCCCACCGCCACTCACCGCCTACCGCCCATCATGGCCGCCGCCACCGCCACCGAAGGAAGTCAGCTTGTTCGCTGACTATAAATCCCCATAAATAAACTTCTGCCGCCGCCGCCGACGGTTCGTTCGTCCATCCTTTGTCCGATCTGCTTCACCATCCATTCCAGACACTCCTTCAGTGGTAGTATTATTTATTCTATACTATGACACCAATACATTGCAACATTAGACATTCACTGGCGGGGGCTGGTTCTGGCGGGGGGGGGGGGGGGGGCGTGGCCGGCGGCCGACGTGGTGTGCGCCGTTTCCGCGCGTCGGGCTCCTCGGTCCTCGGTGTTTTGCTTATCCTGTATAGTCGCCGCCGCCGTCGCTGCCGCTGCCGCTGCCGTCGCTGCCGCTGCCGCTGCTCGCTGTCGCCGTGGGCGCCGTTGTGACCGGCCTCGCCGGTTTGAGCACAAAGAAGCGCGCTTGCTTGCGTGCTGCTGCTGTTTGTTTGTGTGTGCTGTTTGTAATCGCAATATGGGTGTGTTCGTAGTTGAAATGTACGTTCTCGATGAAATTCGCTGGTGGTGAAAAAATTTGCTTGTGGTGAAAATCGCTAATGATGTGTCTCAGCGAATTTTGTGGTGAAATTCGCTTGCGGTGAAAAAAGCGCTTGTGGTGAAAATCGCTGATAATGTGTCTCATAACGTGTTCTGTCTGGTCAACAGTTGGGCCTTCTCAACTTCGAGTGTGCGGCCAAGTCTCGCGTGCGTGTGGTCACTCTGGCACGCCCGAATCGTGATGAGCCGCTGCCGTTCTGCCTGCTGGGCGGCTATGAGAGGAACTTCGGCATCTTTGTCACCAAGGTGGAAAAAGGCAGCAAGGCAGAAGATATTGGCCTGAAGCGTGGCGACCAAATTCTTGAGGTAAGATATATGAGTTTGTGTCATTTATACATTAGGGCATGTGTTATATGTAAGAATTGAATCATTTTATCTTCTCAAGTGTGGATGAATTTCATTGGTCAACATTCGCTCTGGTCTTATCAGCTATCCACGCGATAATTTCTTGATGGTCGGAAGTAAAGCGATTTTCCTGAACAATGTAAGAGCAGTGAAGAGGTTGTGACGTCAGTATTAAGTCTAAGGTATTATTACTTTTAGGCCTCGTGGGCTCATGGACCCACTGTGTAAGATTCATTTTACTACAATAGTCTCTGAAAAGTGTCGCTATTTTTGATTTTTTTTTTAATTTCGGCACTGTTGCGTTGTCTGTCTTCTCCCAAATGATATCGGGAAGATTCAAATCCCCCATAATTATCAGAGGGTATCTTGCCTTCATGAGGATGTGCATAAATATGTTCGTCAGTGCTTCATGACTCTCTTTTGGAGGTCTGTAGCAAACGGCAACAGATACCGATACATTCTCCAGGTCAATTAATAATACCTCGGGGGTATACAGTTGCTGCTGCAGTGGTATGTAGGCCCTTGGTTGCAGTGATTTTTTTATTGCGCAGGCCACGCCGCCTCCGCGACTGCCGCGGTCGCAGCGGAACCATATGTGTTCTTCGAACCCGACTTGTAGATCGTGGTCAGCAACTTTATCATTTAACCAGGTTTCTGTAATGCCTACAATATCGTGGCATTGTAAACCAAGATAAGGCATCATCAACAACTGCGCATTTAAACTGCGGGCATTGGAACAGTACACAGAAAGAGGAGTATGATTAGTAAGAACGCCCGGTGTACGCTCACCTGTTAACGGTCTGACGTCGTGTATCGCTTTCGGCAATTGGCTTTCTGCAGGCGGGGTGACGTGAATCACTTCCGGAGTTAATCCGTGTGAATTTGGCGCGAGCCCCTGCACTGCCGAGTGCCGCGCTCGGTGCTCAGCAGGGCTTGTGGGATACACGCTCATCGCCTGGGATTCGCCACTGCCGCACACCGCACAACGACAGGTCGAGGAAAGACCTTGATGCGGGGCCGTGTACTCCAGATGCTGTGCGCAAGGATGCAACATAATAAATAACACTATAATGCGATCCATGTCCGTTAGGCATTTATGCTTTTTGTGATAGCATGTCGTTGCTAGTTTCAGCTACTAATGGCATTGTCACGAACAATCAGTCAGCGGGATTATGCATAATACAATATAAACACATAGATGTAAACAATGTCCAACAGCCAGTAACAATCCTAAGCCAGAAGAGAAAAGGCTTTAATTTTTTATCGCCAAAAACCAAGCGCGAAATGGACCGATAGAATCAACGCTATCTAGCGGCACAATTGGATGCTTAACTTCTGCGTTGCAATGCTGCATTGTAGAGGACGCTGCGAGCGCAGCGCTGCGACATGACTCTGCTAATATTTGGCTGGGTTACGGACAAAAGTACGTATCGCTAAAGTACGTAGGACAAAAGTACGTAAGCAAAAGTACGTAGGATTAAAGTACGTATCGCAGAAGTACGTACAGTATAAACTACGTATGGACAAAAGTACGTCAGGGACAAAAGTACGTATCGCAGAAGTACGTACAGTATAAAGTACGTATGGACAAAAGTACGTCAGGGACAAAAGTACGTATCGCAGAAGTACGTACAGTATAAAGTACGTATGGACAAAAGTACGTCAGGGACAAAAGTACGTATAGCTAATGTACGTAGGGTAAAAAGTACGTATGGACAAAAGTACGTCAGGGACAAAAGAACGTATCGCAGAAGTACGTAGGGTATAAAGTACGTATGGACAAAAGTACGTCACGGACAAAAGTACGTATAGCTAATGTACGTAGGGTAAAAAGTACGTATGGACAAAAGTACGTCACGGACAAAAGTACGTATGGCAGAAGTACGTAAGGGTATTAAGTACGTAAACGTATGGACAAAAGTACGTCACGTACAAAAGTACATATATCAAATGTACGTAGGGTATAATGAAGGATAAAGACGCAAGGTAAAGACCTTGGGCAAGACGCCCCAGATAATCTATTTTGCTACATAGGCCTACCAGGCCTACCTAAATTTTGTGCTACATCACCTGGAAGGCCAAATTTGTGCTCAATGTGTTCTTTGGACATTTTACTTTGAATTCCACCCCTCAAATTCATTCACTTATGATCGGACTCCCAGCTAGGAAGTAATTTGTGAAGCAACTGCAAATGGGACATTTTGCCCCAACCCCAGGGCAAAACGCCCCACGGCCTGAGGCAAGAAGCCCCATACTCTAGAGTCTAGCTTAAAGATTAACCATGGTAGTTGGCTAAATCTTATATGAGAGATCCGTTAGACCGCTGGAGGCACGGCACTGAAGTTAGCACCTTCCATCCTATCAGGTGTTCAGCTATGACACTATTGTATGAGCAGGTTTTTCACGTGCCTCATAAGGCCAAATAATAAATTATTGCAATGCAAATCAGTTAACAATACACTTCATTTGCCATACAGTTGCTGAGAAAAATACATATAAATGCATAGAAACTTGCTGTTCGCCAGCTACCGAACATTAGGAAGTGGGTAGTCCGAACAACACATGAGGTAAAACGCCCCATGGGGCTTTTTACCCCGCGACCTACTGGGGTGTTTTACCCCATCATCTTGCCCCATCATGTAGTTCGGTCAGCGAACAACGCCTTGCGCTCCAGCAAGACATAATTTAACACGAACCAACCCGGCATTATAAGCGTTAGACAATAGTTGTTCAAAATACATAAAAGTCGTTAACCTGATGTGGACTACAAAAGAAAGCGAGGATGCATAATCAGATGACCAAACATAAAAATCACTAAAAAAACAACACATTTTTGGCTATATCCCCCTAGAGAGTTATCACAATTTCTTTCCAGCTCATATAATGATCATAAAGTGCACGTTTAACAGAAGAGAGGACCTTTCCCCAGAACCCTGTCAGTTCCGAGAGATATCGGTGGGGCCGCCAGGCGTTTTACCTCGGCGGGGCGACTTGCCCCGGTCTACCCTACGTGTGGACCAAATACGTCACGGACAAAAGTACGTATAGCAAATGTACGTAGGGTATAAAGTACGTACCCCACCCATGGGGTAAGTTGATCAATGTGTAATACCTTTCTTATCCTTTATTTAATGAGCATTTGTTACAAGGCATAGCCAAATTTCTCGATGAGTAAATGGGCGAAAGGAACAAAGCTATATTATTTGGTACCTAATGAATTTATCATGAGTTCCCTATAGTATGGCAACAGGGCAGCAATAAAGAAAAAGTGGCCCAACTTACACTACTATACCCTACTTCTAGCATACGTACTTATACACTACGTACTTTGGCATACGAACCGTACGTACTTTTGGCATACGTACTTTTTACACTACGTACTTTGGCATACGAACCGTACGTACTTTTGGCATACGTACTTTTTACACTACGTACTTTTTCATACGAACTTTTGCGTACGAACATTTGCGTACGTACTTTTGGCATACGTACTTTATACACTACGTACTTTTGCAAACGTACTTTTGCGTACGAACATTTGCGTACGTACTTTTGGCATACGTACTTTATACACTACGTACTTTTGGATACGAACTTTTGCGTACGAACATTTGCGTACGTACTTTTGGCATACGTACTTTTTACACTACGTACTTTTGCATACGTACTTTTGCGTACGAACATTTGCGTACGTACTTTTGGCATATGTACTTTATGCACTACGTACTTTTTCATACGTACTTTTGCGTACGAACATTTGCGTACGTACTTTTGACATACGTACTTTATGCACTACGTACTTTTGCATACGTACTTTTACGTACGAACATTTGCGTACGTACTTTTGGCATACGAACTTTAGCGCCTACGTATATTTGCGTACGAACATTTGCATACGTACTTTTGTCCTACGTACTTTAGCGATACGTACTTTAGTCCTAAAATCTATTTGGCTATTGCATATACTGTGGAGCGTGGACCCGGCCTCAGCGACAAAGTGGCGACCGCGGTCGCACGTCACGAGTGCGCAAATCACTGCGACCGCGTCAGCTACCGTGTCCCCTGGGGTATTGCTGATGGACCTGAGAAGATATTAGATATCGGTGACGGTAGCCCTATTTACGTAATTATCGATCGCCAAAAGACAAACAAAATACACTGATCAGAGCATCCGTTCCACATTCGTCCGACGTTTCCATCCTCGGGATAATCAAATCCTTCTCCACGCCGCAAGTCCCCCTCTACCGGGCTGGAAAGGCAACTTAATCCCATGCAGGAACAGGGGCGGTCGCAGACTTGGCGTTTGGGGGAGGGGGCAACTTGGCAAAGGGGCCCCTGCCAATCCTCAGGGGGGGGGGGGGGCTGCGCTTGCTTTAAGGGTCCCATTCAAAGCGCTTCGATACCCTTCACTTAGAGGCTGAAATGAGGCCCTTAGAGTACAGTGTTAGACCCCAGCGGCCGGCGTTGGACCCAAGGGTCAGCGAAGGACCTCAAAGGCCGGTATGGGGCCTCAGAGGCCGATGTGGGCCCTCAGAGGCCAGTGCGTGACGCCCAAAGGTAAGTCTTGGGCCCCCAGAGAACATAATAGGCCCATCAGTGGCCGGTGGAGAGGCCTCATAAGCCGGTTGGGGGCCTTTAGAGGCCAGTTTGGGGCCCTCACAGGCTAGTGTGGGGCCTCAGATGTCAATGTCCCTGTGAGGCCCTTAAAGACTGATATGGGCCCTCAGAGGCCGGCATCGATCCTTCAGAAGCCAGTACGGGGCCTTTAGAGGCACATAAGGGTCAGTCTTGGGTCCCAGGGACAGAAATGGACCATCAGAGACCGGTTTGGGACATTTAGAGGCCGGTTTGGGCCCTCAGAGGCCAATTTAGGGTCCTCAGAGACCAGTGCAGGGCTTGCAAAGGGCAGTTTGAGACCATCAGAGACCGAATTGGGCCCTCGGCTCAGAGGCTAATGTGGGTCCTTACAGGCCAGCATGGGGCCCTCAGAGGTCAGCGTGGGGCCCTAAAAGACCTGCATGGGCCGGCGTTGGACCCCAGAGGCCAGAAGAGGGCCCTTAAAGGCCAAAATGGGTCCCCAGAGGCCGATGGAAGCCCTTAGAGGCCGGCGCCGGGTCTTCAGAAGCCAGTGCGGGGCCCTCAGAGGCACCTGAGTTAGTCTTTCTTGGGGCCCCCTGAGGCCGGTTTAGGGGCCCTCAAAGGCCAGTGAAGGGCCCTCAGAGGTCGATGTGGGCTCTCAGCAGTCAATGTGGGCGCTTGACTGCCACTGAATGGCCCTCAGAGGTCAGTGTAGGACGCTCAAAGACCAGTTGGGAGCTGTTGATAGCTGGCGTGGGTTTCCTGAGCCTCGTGACAATCGAATAAGGGCCAGGGCCCCATACGCCCATGGGGGCCCATCGGTTGTTTGGGGGGGGGGGCAAATAATATGATGGCCCCCTGATTTGTCGTGGGGGGACATGGCCCTGAACCCCCCCCCCTGCGACCGCCACTGTGCAGGAAGCTCCCACAGGAGCAGGCCTGTAGCCGGGTGCGGTGAGTGTTTTGGTGGCCTGGCCTGTCCACTGGATGGGCTCAGCCCCGGCGACTCACTAGGGTGTCCGCCCGGACCAATGTCTCCCCCTAATTCCTATCGTCCTTCCGACTCTGTAATGATCTCATTAGACCGAAAGAGCCTAACTCAACAAAACAAAACAAAACAAAACACTGCTCAGATCGAAATGATGACGTTGACGTTTAAACATTAATCAACATCTTCCGTTTCTGAACATTCATGGTGCCCCATTCCTTACGCACGCATCATACACAGAAATTTAATAGAATGTGTTAAGCTTTTTGTTACATAACGGGATGTTATTACATAGTACCATGTTTTTCGGGTTAGATTAATACCTGACAAGTTTTTGAAGAAATGTTCTGCTTGTGTTCATTTCGTTTTTGTTGACGGAAAAATAGTATGTTGTTTTATGTATTGTGTATTCACCTGCGTTTTGATGGGTGGCTTCAGGCTTGTATATAGTGCACGGTGGCATTTACCACGTACGTTTGAAAAGTTGAATATGTTAATTTATGCTTATGCTTATATCTCAGCTGCTGATGTTTCGTTACGTTTTTGGATGTGTATGATTTTATATGAAACAGACTCAGCTCCAACTCGTCAATAATTGTTGGCCAATCGCCACGTAGCACATGATGTATTCATTACCCAATATCACCCGGTGCTTCTCACAGGTGAATGGTCAGAGTTTCGAGCACATCTCGCACCCGCGCGCTCTGGAGGTGCTCAGAGGCACCACCCATCTCAGTATCACCGTCAAAAGCAACCTCCTCGGTGAGTCTGTGATGGAGCTTCTGTCCATGGTAGCTGGATTACGGAGAGTAGAAGAGTGATAGAGCACGTTTGTTTGGTGTTAGTTGAATGCAAGGAGCTTTCGTTAATTTGTGCGTGGCGGGGATTTTTTCATTCGGAATGTTTTGCGCACTAAATTATTGGGTTTTAATGTTCAAAAATAATGGTGTGAAGATCAATAATCATTTGGTGTTCAATGATCAAACAAAGTAAGTTGAAATGACGACGTATCTCGTATTCGAGCTCCTTTAACCTACCTTGTTTTCGTTTTGCTTGTTCCTCAAATTAGCTGCCGTTACCCAGTCCATCTCAACTGCTCTCCGTCCGTGCCGTAGCCCTCCCCCCCCCCCCCTACTCACCTCCCCCCTTCTGTCCACAGCGTTCAAGGAGATGCTCCAGACGCCGGAGGACGCGATCCGACCCCGCCAGAGGAAGGGCTCTGAGATCTCCGGCCTCAACAACTACCAGAGGCCCCGGCTGCCCGGATCGAACCCGGCCGGCACCGCGGCACCGACCTCAGAGAACGGTAAGGGGACGTGGTGCTTCGGAATAATCCGATAACCCGTCTTGGTAGCGCCAACACCCAACAATGACAACAAGTTATGCATGAAGAATGCAGAAAACAAGACGTCTGCTGGTGTTTCTAGTCACCCACAACCTATCAGGATGCGATATTTGTTGATCGGGCGTCTGGTCAACAGTCGCACCCACTGGCTGGTGGGTGCGACTGGTGCGCCACCTGGTGGCTGGTGATGGCATCGGCCCGCTACCTAAACGCAGTGGCTTACATGCGCTCCAAAACTCCTATATTTGTTAACCGTCAATACGACGACGTGTTTAATTTGTACTTGCATGATCGGGTATCTCTTTTTTTAGTTTCCAAGTGTTCTATTGACCTGAAATGATTCGTTCTGACCTATGTCACGTTTTCTACCTTACAGACCCGACTCAGAAGGACAAAAAGGAGGCGATCCACAAGACGTTCGCCACGCTCGGGCTGCGCACCATCAAGTTCAGGAAGGCGCTGATCAAGGCCATCACGCACAAAACTCCACTGTGAGTAGGCGATACATGGACGCCGGTGGCCATTGCTGGACGTGACGTGCCCTAAACCCTCGAATCATCATCAGCAGGCGATCGATATCTTTGTATTTGAATTACATTATATATTATTATGCATTTGCAATATCGGGACAGGAGGTACACTGTCATGTAGGTTTCTGAGCTCAATATGGACGCATAGTCCGTCGGCGTGCCCCTGAGATCTCCCCAACGAAAAGACTGGTCCCTAGTCTCACATATTAACCCGCGCCCCACTGGGGTCTGCGTATAACACGCCCTACTGGGGGGGGGGGGGGCTATTCATAGCCCCCCCCCCCTAACTCCGAAACTACTGGGCCGATCGTCAAAATTCAAACGGCGTCTGATAGCCCCGGAAAAACTGTCGAGCGAAACCTAATTTCATTGACCTCGAGGTCACCGATGACGTCACAGGTCAGGTCAAAGTAAAAATTATTATCATTTTGGCTTGTTCACGTTTTGGGCTCTGGCCGCCGTCTCACAAGTCAGATCAGGTTCAGTTTTGGTTCACACACTCGTGAACAGATGCTCTAGATACCCTGAGGGTACCAAACTTGTACTTTGATTTTCAGGTCAAGGTGAGGTCATCACAGGTCACGAAAATATTATATCATGTGTCGGTCACGTGACACATGTTTTATGGTCCATTTAGGCCAAAGATTTCGAATTTGATGTCGTCTGTGTCATTCGAGGTCATTTTGAGTCGAATTTAGCTTAGGTCAGGTCACTTTCAGGTCAAAAAAGGTCAAATTTTGAAGTTATAATTTTTCAACAGAAAAGGTGTCTATTGGATGCAGTTTGAGCTCAGGAACACGATGGTGCTATTTATATTGGCGTACGATGTCAAATACGTGGTGAAAAATTGATTTGAAAAATTAATAATTGTGAATTTTTTGCAATAATGCGTATAACTTGGCTATTTTTGAAGATATTTAGCTAAAACTTGCTAGAGTTTTTCATAATAACGCGTTCTATCACATGTATTCCGGTTTTTTTCGAAAAGTCAAAAACTTTTTTGAAAAAAATATAAAAATGTAAATTTTGAGTTTTATTTTATATAATTTTCAAAATTTTCAAAATTTTGAAAATCCGAGATAGCAGTTTGATAGCGCAGTCGATTCTGAGTCCTCTCATGCAAAGAAATTGGATCTAGCTTAAAAACTGAGCCCTTGGGAGCGATTGCCGTGGTTCAATGTTTTGCGTCGAAATCGGCCGAACATGACGTCACTCTGACGTCATTTCCGGCCGACCTATGGTAGCTACGAAGTTCAAATTTTGACACAAGGTGTCAAATTGATGCAGCCGAAGGTACTGAAAGTTTGGTGTCGATGCGTCAAGCGGTTTGGAAGTTATTGCAGAAAAACGGGAGGGGGGCTATAAATAGCCCCCCCCCCCCCAGTGGGGCGCGGGTTAACCCTTCGCCCCCTTTTTCACAGACAAGCGCACCACTCGGACGACACGCTGGTACCGGGCGGCGGCGGCAGCGCAGGGGACGGCCCACCCACCCCCGGAGCCATGTATCACTCTCACAGTAACCCGGACCTCAGTCAGCTCAGCTACGACGAGTGGAAGTTCGACTATCCGGAGCACGTGCTAAAGGTGTACAAGGCCGACCAGAGCTGCAAGTACCTGCTGGTGCATAAGGTGAGACATGGGTGTGAGTGTGGATGGATAGGTTAAAAGTTGTAACCTGTATCCCAGTTTTAGGTAAGAGTTTAAGGTCATTGGTGGAGCCTGGAGGCCTTGTAGGCATTGGCTTCAATCTCCCGCAACGTGTAAAATTGATGAATTTCCATCCCGTTTTCCCATCATATATAAAGGCGGCTAAATGTTTTTAAAGTAAAATTTGCAATGCGTAAGAAAGCGAAGTCCAAGAAGTGTGGGAAATAAGTGAACATTTTTGTGGAGTAACCCCCGAGTAAGTAAAGTAAAGTAATCTGGCAACCGCCGCCCACCCCTGTAGACTGCAGCGTCCGTTTTCATCTGTCTGGATCCACTTGCATTGTGAAGACCATTTGATGTTTGTATGGGAACATGCATAGCTTGTTGAATCTCTAATTATATTCCCAGTAGGCTACTCGTCTTGTTTGTAATTATGCTTGCGCGTTGTGCCTCATTGAATGAATGAATGGAGGCATGCCACTCGACAACTAAGGGTATGCTTCTAATTACAAGTGGAAAGGGTATGATTCTAATTATAAGTGGAATGCTAATTACTGCCAGTTGTGGGGTCCTGCCTTTTTAATTTACGTACCTTGGAAAGGCTATGTAGAGGGCCTGTGGTTTTCCCCCAGTAACGATCTGTAGGATAAATCTGAGTAAGGCATAAACTGTCATGTGGTTGAATGTTTGGTGAGCTATCTTTTGACTGACGGTTGGGGCAGTGATCTGCCATTTCAGCTGCTAATACTGTTCTCGTAAGGCTCTTCTTGACCTTAGTGCTACGTATAACAGTGAAAGTAGAATGTCACTTTTACATATACTAAGCCGCAATAAAGTATCAATTATTACCTGTGGCAGTGTAAGCGCAATGTAAACCGTCTGATAATGTCCGCATTATTATACTTCAGTCCGTTTTACTTGCGGAATGCGTTAGGCACAGAGTACCTCCCTATCTATGTATGTATAGAGAAGTCTGTTCCTTAGGCTACAAAGATCATTAGTATACATTGTATGTATGTATTTTATGTATGTAATTTTTATGTATATACATTGTATGTATTTCCTTGACAAGCTATGAGTGATCACACCATCCGCCATTATTTCTCTCCCGCAGGAGACCACGGCCCGCGAGGTGTGCATGCTGTCTCTGCGGGAGTTTGGTATCACGGATCCGAGCAGTAATTACAGTCTGTGTGAGGTCACGGCCGGAGCCGGCGGAGTGATCAAACAGAGACGACTGCCCGACCAGATGCAGAATCTGGCGGAGAGAATCGGACTGGGAAGCAGGTGAGGAGGAGAGAGGGAGGAGGAGGGGAAGGGGAGGAAAGGAAAGGAGAGAGGTGAAGGGAAGGGGAGGGGAGGGGAGGGGAGGAAGGGAGGACATATTCACAAGACTTGCAGCTTAAAGTACTTGAAGAACTTGAAGTACAGCATGAAGAGAGAAAGGGAGGGAAGGATGGATAGAGAAGGGCAAAATGAAGAAGAGTAAAGGGATGATCATAAATTTGTGACGACTTAACGATAACGAAGAAATTAGGAATAGTTAAGGAACAGCCGTGGAATAATATTGTGGTTCATAGTAAATAAGGGAAAGGTATGTTATTATCGATGTTTAATTGAAGGTGCTTAATATTGAAATATGTTTTCTTACCTACTCCATACGGACATTTTCCCCTTTCTTGGCTGTTCAGTGTTGGCATTCATAAAGTAAAACAGTCATTGGCTGATTTTAGCGGCATTTTCTCGCTGCAAGGACACACGTAAGCCGCTAACTATAAACAGTGTGAACATGACGCCCCTTTCTTACATCCTCAGGTACTACTTGAAGAACAACCAGGTGACGGAGCCTCTGGTGCCTGACGAGCTGGCGGCAGAGCTGCCGCGAGAGGGGAGCGTCCACTTCCTGCAGCTGAACGCTCTGGAGGTGGCCGTCCAGGTAACCGGGGCGGGTCTGTGGAAGGTTAGGTTAGGGTGGGGTCTGGCCGCCGAACTGCCGTTTACTTTCTTCAGCTGAACGCTCGGGAGAGGTGGCCGCTGAGGTAACGGGGGCGGGTCGGTAGGAGGGGGGGGGTGAGCGGTGGGGTCTGGCCGCCGAACTGCCGTCCACTTGCTGCTGCGCCGCCGCTGTAGAGCGGCGCCTGCTCAACAGCAGCGCCTACTTATATAATCGCCTGCCCCATAATTTTAGGAGCCTATTTATGAGAAGTTTTAAGCGCTCTGTTTCCGAGTGGTATTTAGTATTTAGGGATGAGTGAATGGTTCGATGCTGACCTGAGTGCTGTGATTTTGATTGCATTTTAACTCGTTTTTTTTTCTTTTAACACGCGCAGTGGAAGGGGGGGGGGGGCGGATTTCGCCCACCCCTCCTGTTTTTCGCCAATAACTCGCGCCGCGAACATAATATCAATGTGAAATTTTGGCTACCTGTCCAAAATTGAATTGCGGATCTTCTCGTGCAAGAAATAAGAAAATCGGTTCACAACTTTTCTAGTAATAGCGGTGTAAAGTCAAACATCCTGCCGCCGCGGCGGCGCGGCGGCGCGGCGGCCGGCGCTAGCCGTTACGCGCCGCCTGAATTGTAGACTGTGCCGGGGCGGGACGGTTCCGTCTTTACATCGCGCTCCTTACCGCTGATTATATTAGATTCGCGTCAAATTCGGTGAGAAGACTGAGAAATGTACAGGCAATCATATGGTCAAAGAATTTTGAAAATCGGCCGGTAACAATTTGAGTTATGAGTGTGTAAACACAAAATTGTGATTGCCGCGTTTCCCGCGTCCGCCGATCCCGCTTCAGCCGGCGACATCTTACCCTTAGCAGGCTTCTAACTGCCATATTTATTGTTGGATTATCTAGAAATTCACCATACATACTCCCAAATGTTTGTTCTTTCGTATAGTGAAAGAAAAAAGAAAATCGGCCGGTAACTTTTTGAGTTATCGGCGTGTAAACGCAAAAAAAATCGCTAATATGGCAGATTTGACCACATTTGACCTCATTTGACCTTGAAGATATTGACCTAGGGTCATGAAATTCACACAAAACAGAGTTCCCCATGGCCCCCACCTACCCTCCAAATTTCGTCTTTCTAGCTCCAGTGGGAGCTGAGATCTTAGGGGGGGGGCGACATCCGCCCCCCCCCCTTCCACTGGGCGTAGTACTCGCAACCCTTCCACTGCGCGTGTTAACTGAGACGCGACCCTCATAATAGCCATTTTAATATGGAGTGTTTTAATTGTCAGTACATACATTCATTGACCAGGGCGGGTCTGTGGGGGAGGGGGAATGAAGGGGGCTAGGGTGAGCGGTTGGGTCGGGTCTATGGGTAGGGTGAACGGTTTGGTGTGGTTCATTTCATAGGGGTGGGTTAGAGTTGGGGTCGGTAATAGTGTGATGTGGGGTGGGGTCTGATGGTCTAGGGGTGGCCGGGTGAGAGCTGACTGTTTCTGGTCTAGGTTAAAGACTTGTCCTTGTAGGATAAAACCCGTCCGAAGGAACCATTAGGAACTGGCCAAAATTGATTATCATGTAATTAAGCAGAACTTTTATGTAAAGCAGGGTGGGCGCTCTAAAAATATGTCGATGGTCAATGTCACCTTGCTCGTGATTCTCCTCTTGAATGCTTCATAAGAACCAGCGCACTGCTATAATGCATTCGGCATTGTAAGGCTATCAGCTCTTACCTCAAATTCGCTTCTGGCATGGTCCTATCTTTATTTTATGTCTCTTATCATTTTCAGCTCACACTCAGCATGTTTCTCACATTCCCATCTCGCATTCACTCCCTAGTGCTGGGCATCACGCCCGATTATGCTAAACGCGTATATACCATACAAGCATAACTCCCTTTTCTGCGACTTCTTTTTCAGCTTACACTGGACGACTTTAGCCTGTTCCGACAAATCGAGGCCACCGAGTATGTGGACGATCTGTTTGAGCTGAAGAGCCGCTACGGAACGCCCGGACTGAGGCAGTTCGCCGAGGTAAGGCGGGACGCCGCCGCTAGAGTGTAGACTTAATGTGTGGCGTTGTGGAACCAGAATATTCGGCTGGGATTCGTAAACGTTCGATCTTGGCACGATGGGCTTGGAAACTAACTCTGATCTCATAGGAGGGTTGAGATCCCGTGAATGACACCGTTTTTAATGCTTTGTTAGCTGGGCTTTAATAGTTTGGTTGTGAACTGGCATGAAAACTTGAGGTATTCGTGTAATTGATTGAAAACCAGCACTGTAGTTTGGTGTCGGGTCGCAGAAACCGTTCCTAAGTAGCGCGATTTCGTTAACGGTGTTCTTGCTATGTTTGTATCATCAGTTTATGCAGGATGCTGTGAGACTTAAGTGACTTGTCACTTGTAATCAATAAGTCCTCTCTGTTATTTTGATCCCCACTCCCTAAGTTTTGTCTTTAACCCGATTGACCTGACCTGACCTTTTTGCTGGTGAACCGTGAGCTGTTGTCTGTTGGGTCATTGACCTATCCTGACCTGACCTGACCTGACCTGTCCTCTCTACAGCTGGTGAACCGTGAGCTGTTGTATGTTGGATTACTGACCTGACCTGACCTGACCTGACCTGACCTGACCTGACCTGACCTGACCTGACCTGACCTGACCTCTCTACAGCTGGTGAACCGTGAGATGTTCTCTGTTGGATTACTGACCTGACCTGACGTGACCTGACCTGACCTCTCTACAGCTGGTGAACCGTGAGATGTTCTCTGTTGGATTACTGACCTGACCTGACGTGACCTGACCTGACCTCTCTACAGCTGGTGAACCGTGAGATGTTCTGGGTCATCACTGCAGTCTGTGGCGAACACAACGTCGTCAAACGAATGAAGATCGTCAAACAGTTCATCAAAGTCGCCCGTACGTATCATCTTGTCTGTGGCGTGTTACGAAGCATCTTGTCTTGAAAAGAAAGACTGTTTTACTGCGGTTATTTTCCTTTATGGTTACAACAATCTATTGAAAACACTACATGCCCTGGCGGCGGACAATCTGTAGCTGACTGACGATAATCTTACTTTCAGTATATGATAGCCATAATAGTTTTTCCTCTCAACGAGCGTTTATTAGTCACATCATTCATGACGAGGTAGTATCCTGCGGTGCATCATATTTTAACACGTCGGTCCTTTTGACATTTTTAACATCCATCTCACACATCTTTCTATTTCTTTTGTTTTCACATATCTTTCAGTGCTCACGTCAGCTCATATATCACTATATACCCCCCCCCCCCCCCGCCCCACAGGCCACTGCAAGGAGTGCAAGAACTTCAACTCTCTCTTCAACATCGTCTCCGGCCTCAGCCATGGGGCGGTGGGGAGGCTGAAACAGACCTGGGACAAGCTGCCCACCAAGTACCAGAAGATCTACAACGATATGCTGGTGAGGACGTGGGGTCGACTCTGCATCGAGGGGGAGGATGGTGGTAGGAAAAATTGAGGATGATAATGGATTCGGAACTCTAGTTATTCCTTATGTAATTGTCTGATGTATTGGGTATCAAAAGCTGGAGGTGTGACTTCTGGGTATGATAAACTGTGGCAATTCAAGGGGAGTGGGTTGAGTTTGGATGTACAGTGTGCGCAGTCTCTAATGAGGACTGAGTTGAAAAGACCTTATGGGGACTGTCGAGGGAGCCGGGTTTAATGAGGGCGGTGGAGGGAGGGGAATGCGGGATTGGGTTTGATGGGGGTACGCTCGTGAATGGGCCGGCCTGGCTGGTAAGCTAGCCTGGAGCAGTATGTGCCATTGTGACTTCAGAATAAATCAGCTGCAACTATTTAACTAAATTCATGCCCACTTCACCTAGGTGCCAGATCGGTTTCGTCCAGCATTGTCAATCCAACCCTCACTCCCATCCCCTTGTCCGACGACACCAATTACTAACCGCTGGCTGTCCTGTGACACCACAGGGTCTGATGGATCCCAGCAGGAACATGTCCAAGTACCGCAACCTCATCACCTCGGAGCACGTTCAGCCCCCGCTGGTGAGTAGTCACGAGTCACTTGAGTCGCCCGTGAGTCAACGGAGTCAGGTGCTACATCACGAACTGCTTGTCATGAATTGCTTGTCACGGTACCAGTCACGGCGCGTGGCATGTGTTATTGCGGGAATCACGATGCGGTATAACGCGTAAATAGTCACAAAATGAGTTACGGTAGTGTGTTATGGCTTTGGAGAGACATGATGTTTTTTATAACAGCGGTCGTAGTGATTGGTTAGCCCGCGCCCGGCTGGGGGTCCTGGATTTCCACTCCCTGCTGGGGGGGGGGGGTGTTTGAACACCCCCCCCCTTCTAACTCGGCTCCTGGGCCACGTAGCGATACGCGGAAGGCGGTGTTCGAAAGAGCGTCAAAAATAATGAGGAAATCACTTAGGTCAATTTTTTGGTCAGGTCAAAGGTCAGGTCACCAGAGGTCATTGAAGGCAAAATTTCGCCGATTTCCAGGTCGAATGTTGTTACCGATGTCCTTGCTCACTCACACTGCTCGTAAGTCCGCACAGTCTGTATTTAACCACCGCCGCACACCGAATGCCCCGCCGCGCCGAGCACAGCCGGCCAGCCGGCCGGCTCCGCCAATGCCCCGCGACCGCGGTCGGGTCGCACGGGCGAGCCCAGCGCGGACAAACTAGAGGGCCTCAACGCACCGCAGGGGCGGCTCCGGTCTGGGCTTATCTAGCGAAGCCGCGCGACGCGGTGTTTAATAGCGCTCTACAACAATGTCAACAATTTCCAAGAAGCCAACGCATAACTCGGGAACCAATAGAGCTACAGCGCCGCGGAAAAGCGCATTCGATAGCCCTATTAACGCCCTTTCTGATTATATTTCTCAGATTTGACCTAACGTCAACGGTTTTGCCTGCGGGGGGCAAAAACTGCAAAAATAGCCGATTTTTTCGGAAACAGTTTTTCTGCAATAACTTTTGACCCAAGCCTTGTACGAGCTTACTTTTACCAACATCGTGTTCCTCTCGTCAAGACGCATCGAATGAACTATAACTTGACCTTGAAAGGTCAACTTGAAAATTTGACCTCAGGTCAAGGTCATGACCTGACCGGAAAGGGTCATGTTGCATATCAGTCGATCCGTATCGTCGAGCTGAACACATCTAAGGCGTTTTCATCGCTCTAGCATGCCTCTATCAAAAGTTATTTGCGAAAAACTGTTAGATACCATTCGTGACCTAAGATGACCTCAGGGCATAAACAGGGGTCACGGACACCATTTTCATGTTCAGCGTGTCCAAACCACTTGTAATTTAGTGTTCGGGAGTGTTTATAATGTCTTTCGTCCAAAAGAGGCGCATTTCAGTTTTCTCCCATTGACTTAAAATGGGGAGGTCGCAAATTTGACCTGACCTTAGGTCATCGATATCAAAATTCTGAGATATACATTTTGTACATGCTATTGCTCTTAGCAATCGCTGAAAGTTTCAAAGCGATCGGTCACTCGGTGTAGCTATGACAGACATTGAAACTTTTTATGAGGTGAGGTCACTTCAAGTGACCTGGTGACCTGACCTTGAATGACCTTGGTCTGAAATTTTCACAACATGTGTAGAATTGATGTATGATCAGTGTAGCGCCGCCGTTTTTGAGATATTCGCGAAAAACCACAAGGGGGTGTTCGAACACCCCCCCCCCCCCCCCTAGCAGGGCGCGGGTTAATCAGTATTTAATTTGTTGGACCAGTACATACTTAAGTGAGTACCTATATTAAAATCGACTATGTGATATATTATAATCATCCGTTTGTTCCATTTTACGATTGTCCAATCGTTTCGTTTTGCACGACGATGAACTCTGAAGTGCGAACGCTCCAAAATCATGTTCCATTATTTTAACTCATTACAATGGCTGTTGTCTCGCTCAGATTCCGTTCTACCCGATCGTGAAGAAGGATTTGACGTTCATCCACCTGGGTAACGATACATGGGTGGACGGCCTCGTCAACTTCGAGAAGCTCAGGATGATCGCCAAGGAGGTATGGCTGAGCCGAGATTGTAGGTTGTTGGTAGTGAGGGTGGACTTGTTGAAGCTGAAGTGTCACATCTGACACCACTTCCCTGTCTGGTACTTGAATGTAAAAATTAAAACGTTACTTTTACCCTGGCATACGGGTTCCCCTCAGGCTGATATACATAAGCGTACTTCCAAACAAGTTCCTCCTCAACTTCTCGCTATTGCTTTTCCCTCCTTATATAATACCATACCATACTATCAATATCAGGTGGCTAGAAATGTCCTTTCCTGTGAACGTCCAAGTCGAAATGGTCTCACTTCATTGAAGCATATGCTGTTGGTAACGCATTGAAATCAGTATGTCTCTGTTCCAATGCACCAATTCCATATTATCAATTCCATATTACGTTATTTCTCTGCCGAGAAATAACGTAATATTATTCCGAGGGAAGAATATTAGTATGCTACCATTCCCCCCCCCCCCCACACACACACACACACACACAACCTCACCCCGCCTCTCTCTCTCTCTCTCTCCCTCTCTCTCTCTCTCTCTCTCTCTCTCTCTCTCTCTCTCTCTCTCTCTCTCTCTCTCTCTCTCTCTCTCTCTCTCTCTCTCCTCTCTCTCTCTCTCTCTCTCTCTCTCTCTCTCTTTCTACCTCTCCTCTCCTCTCCTCTCCTCTTCTCTCCTCTCCTCTCCTCTCCTCTCCTCTCCTCTCCTCTCCTCTCCTCTCCTCTCCTCTCCTCTCCTCTCCTCTCCTCTCCTCTCCTCGCTCTCTCCTCTCTCTCCTCTCTCTCCTCTCTCTCCTCTCTCCTCCCCCTCCTCTCTCACTCACTCACTCGCTCGCTCACTCACTCACTCACTCACTCACTCACTCACTCACTCTTTCACTCACTCACTCACGCAACTCACTCACTCACTCAGTGGCGCGGGAACTTCTTCCAGACTGGGGGGGCTGAACCATCATAGAGATCAACCTAGGGTACCCCCAAATCTAGTTTTTTCATCGGTTTTAGGCCACTTATTTTTCAGACCTTGGCCTTTTCAACGAAAAAAAAAAGAAGAAAATATTTGCAAAAAAGTGAGACCCATTCCGTCTCAGCTGAGTGAAGAAACTACCGTTTTGGCAACCTGGAATAAAGGTTTTAAGCTGCCAAATGAGTTGCCGAGTCAGTAAAATAGGTAGATTTTTCACTCACATGCTATGCTTTCTTTCTTTGTGACTCACAACCCCTAATTTGGGGAGGACAAGCTGCCCCAACGGTTCCTGGCCTCATGAAAAGTTGTGAGGCACCGCCCCCACGGCCCCAGAGTTGTGAGGGCAAGCTTCCCCCACTGCCCTCTCCCCCGGTTCCCGCGCCTATGTATGAATCTATGAAATTGAGTTAGTAGATTTCCGATTTCGATTCCTCCAGCTGGGGGGCTCAAATACATTACGAGCCCCCCCCCCCCAGCCGAAAAGTTGGAGGGGCTCAGCCCCCCCCCTAGCCCCCCCGGTTCCCGCGCCACTGCTCACTCATTCTCTGTCTCACTCACTCACTCACTCCTTTCTCCGTCAGGTGCGCTCTCTGTCCGACATGTGTTCGGTGCAGTACGACGCCTGCTCCATGCTGGAGCTGGCCGGTCACTCCGGACTGGGACAACTGACACTCACCGCACAGAGGAACGCCACCGTCAAACGACGCAGGAAGTCGCAGGCGCAGTCCAACCCCAAGAAAATGTTCGAGGAGGTAGGTGACGCGGTGGGGATACTGTGGGTTCGAATCTAGGCGTAAGCAGAGTTTTTGTGATCAGTTTTTGTTTATTAGATCAGGTATTTTCATTTGGCAGCCTAAAATTTCGATTTTAGGGATCAAGGTAGTAGAAAGAAACTATATATCATAGACCTCTGTACACCGTCATAAGCTGTACATGCATCGCACCCGTCATAAGCTGTTCACTGAATAGCATTGCTGCCCGCCCCCGATACAGGGTAAATACAGCAACTAGTTTATTTAGTAAAAAAAAATAGAACCCTCAAGTTACCGGGAGTTTTTTCTCGTGTTTTTACCTCCCTTGGCCCCCTCGTTAGCTGGTGTCTGCTGCCTCGGGCTGTGGGCCATGACTAATGAGGAGCTGATTTGCGAGTTTGCCCTGACTAATTAGTAGATAAGCAGCGAGACAGAATAACGAGCCAGACGTCCTGCGATCCGCGGTCGATGCCGGACAAACAGAATTGAAATAACTTTGTGATATTGAGTTTTGTCTGCTGCTTTAATGGAAGGTGTTTGCGTTTACAATCATATTTTGAAGAAAGCAAACAGTTCTTTGCCATTATCGCTATTTATTTTTGCATCACTTTTTGCATGTGTGTATTATATCTTTGTAAGCATCAAAATCACCCTCTTAGATCAAACCACCTTCGCTCCGTTACAACCACAACCAACCTTGCTACTTCATTGTCTCATCTTTCACTGAATGTTGACAACAATTTTGCCCGACTTTTTTATTGGGCATTGCCTGTAAAAAAAAAAATGCTGGATGAAATAAAAACACCCCCACCTACGCGTATTGTTAGTTGTATAAATTAAAAGTCTGTATTCTCCAAGTTTGTATTCTCCTAGCTTGTATTCTCCAAGTTTGTTTTACCTAGCCTTATGTTCTCCAAGTTTGTCCTATCTACAGGCAGCATGTTCACGGCGATGTTGTGATGTGTGCGGCAGGCTCAGATGGTGCGCAGGGTGAAGGCCTACCTGGGCAACCTGAGCGTCGTACAGGATGAGGAGAAGCTGCTTCAGATGTCACTCGAGTGTGAGCCGCCGCCGGCCGGCTCATCCACCACCACCACACGGTCAGTGGATGTTACCAACAAATAAACAGACAAACAAACGAACAACCAAACAAACAAACAAACAAACAAACAAACAAACAAACAAACAAACAAACACGATCAGTGGGTGGACATAGTAACCCGCTGCTAAAACATGACAATTCAACTAACAGAAAAGCAGAGAAGCAAACGAACAAGCAAACACGGTTAATGGATGGACGGGCAGTGGCAGCTGGCTTACCTCAACGAACAAACAAACATACAAACACGGTCAATGGGTGGATGGATTGTGTCCGCGTTGTCAACGCGCTCTAAACCCCCTCCCACAAAAACACTCAGTCGATTGAGCCCTGGTTGCAGCGGGAATGAGAGTCATAACAAGCGTTATGCTTGTCGTTGCGCAAGAGCTGTCAGTGGCAGTTGGACGTGAATGGCTCATTTTGATTTGAATTGGCTCGTAAATGGCTCATGCGTGATTTAATGTTGGGCTGAAAATATTCTCTGTTCGCCTACTGTTGGATAGGTAGTATCACCCTTATCATTTAGCTGTTTGTGTGTCATACCACAAGCAGTGTCATTTCTCTGTCCAATTACCCCCTGTTCTGTTGGACAGACGATGTCACTCGTCCTGAAAATGACCTCGCAGTCGGCGCGCCCCTAACCCCCCTCACTCGTCCTGTCCACCACAAGCAGTGTTCTTTCTCTGTCTTATCACCCTCTCCACATTGTCATTTATATGTCTAATTGCTCTCTCCACAGTGTCATTTCTCTGTCTAATTACCCTCTGACCTGTTGTATAGACGGCGTCACCCGTCCCGGCCTACGCTCTCCACAGTGTCATTTCTCCGTCTAATTACCCTGTGTTCTGTTGTACAGACGGCGTCACCAGACGTCCCCTACCCTCTCCACATTGTAATTTCTCCGTCTAATTACCCTGTGTTCTGTTGTATATACAGACGGCGTCACCCGTCCCCTACGCTGTCCACATTGTAATTTATCCGTCTAATTACCCTCTGACCTGTTGTATAGACGGCGTCACCCGTCCCGGCCTACCCTCTCCACAGCAGACTTGTGATCAGCTCAATTGAGCCGGCTCAAAAATCAGCTCAGCTCATGAGCCGGCTCAACATTTTGCCAAATTGTTGAGCTGTGAGCTGAGCCGGCTCAGTAATGCATTGAGCTGAGCTGCTGTCTGAGCTGAGCTGAATGAGCTTGAGCTGAGCTGAGCTGAATGAGCTTGAGCTGAGCTGAGCTGAGCTTGAGCTGAGCTGATTGAGCTGAGCTGAGCTGAGCTGAGCGAGCTGAGCTGAGCTGAGCTGATTGAGCTGAGCTGAGCGAGCTGAGCTGAGCTGAGCTGAGCTGATTGAGCTGAGCTGAGCTGATTTAGCTGAGCTGAGCTGATCCAGTTCTAATTCTTTTCAGTTCATGCTTGGAAATTAACTCAGGCTTTGATGCTTCAGCTATGAGCTAGCTATGGAGTGAGCAATTACACTGCCTTCGTGATCGCACTTAAAGATATCAAAACTCTAAAGAAATCAATAGTAATCACTAATCAAGCTTCATTTTTTCACCCATATTGCATGGAAATTGGAAGATCAGGGTCTTGGCCAATTTACAGGCTAATACAGCCAGTCTCAAGTTTCAAGTCTGACTGCAAATGAATACCTACTGTCAGGCTTTGATGCTTCGCCTTGACACTCTGCTCCGCAATGTACAATTCAGCATTCTTCACTTTGTTATTTAAGTATTATTTAAATTAATTTTATCAATAAGGGTTCTTACCTCTGCATAAAATATCTACAATTAGGAATTAGCAAATAAAGTTCCTCTTCGTTGGTTGAATGTGGCTAAGCAACCATATCCTATTGAAAGTGGGGTGGGGCAGAGGCGCTAACTGGAACTCCACCTTCTGATGTCCATTATAGGGAAAAGCTCCCTTATTCACACGCCGACTATGAATTCTAATAGTGTTGACATTGCCTTGGTTGAGATTAGGTGGTGTTATATGTAGTTTCACTGATAACAGCACGCTGCTATCACACGTGTCAAATGGGGTTTCCATGGAGATATAAACAAACTCTTATCTCCAATTACCACACTACCCCAAAATGTAACGTCAGCTCCTGGCAGGGTGCCAAGAGCGATAGCGGCGT